GACCAGTACCGCCCTTTCCTCATGGGCAAGGCCGCCGCCGTCGTCAACAAGCAGCTCCCCGCCAAGGCCGTCGTCGACGAGCTCGTCAACGACGGTGTTGCGTGGATAACCAAGGGCCAGCAGATGGTCGTCGCGAAGCTGTAAGCTGTGGGGGGGGGGGGGAATGAAAGGGTGTCGCTCGAATGAATGAACCGCAGGAGAGCACGAGAGAGACAGAGAGAGAGAGAGAGAGAGAGAGGCATCTAGACGAAGCGCGTGTGGTATGATATGACCTGCATAGTAAAGACTTGTACACTCGAATGAATCACAAACAAATTTTAAAAATCATCGCCATCCACCTTTTGCTGTTTCTTGGCGACTTCTCTGTGAGCGTATGTGGAAGCGAAGATTTGGCTACAAGGAACATCTTTCTCGTTTTCGTGACTCCTTCTGTTTGTGCGTCCTCTCATCAGCCCGATGCATCACCATATGACCACTGCTGCCGAAGTCTGTTTCTTCAGCCTCTCAGCGCAGCCCGTACGCAGCCACAAGAAACGCCAGTCTGGGACAAGGAAACACGTCTCTCATTAAAGGAACTATGCTGCCGCGCCTCCCGCCTTTACATGCCCCCCTTTTCAACCCCCTCTCTCCTAGCATCCATACCTTCACCCATCTCCTCTCTCGCCCCCGGGCTACCCACGCACAGGACACGCGATGCAAACACCGCTCAGCTGCCGAGGTACGCGCGAATGGCGCCCTGCAGCCGTCCGCCGACCTCGCCGGCCATGTTGCTGAGGTTCTCGAGGTCGTCGCCGGCCGTGATGCCAAACTTGCGGACAAAGTCCTTGGCCGCCGACTCGAGGTCGCCGTACTCCTCGGCGGGCTCGTCCTCGGGGCGGCCAAAGTAGGCGTTGGACGAGATGGCCGACGCGCCCTCGAAGCCCTGCAGGCGCGTCTTGGCCTCGGCCTGCTGGTTCGGGTCGAAGGAGCCCTTGCCGAAGAACTCGTCCGACGAGATGCCCTTTTGGCCGCCAAACTTGCTGCGCGCGTACGTCTCGTCTTGGTCTGGTGGGCACGGGTTAGCATGCGAAGAAGGACAGTGAGACGGCAAGGCGTGGGATGACAGGGAGTGGGACAGGGAGTGGGACGGCAAGGCATGTAACAGGCACCGAGGCGCAGAGAGAACGGGGACTCACCTTCTGCAGCAGCCTTGATGGGACCCACAGAGCCAAAGCCCGTGGCCGCCTTCTTGGCGGGCGCCGCCTTGTTGTTGCCGCCGCCGACCTGGCCGAAGCCGAGCCGCTGCATGCCCATGCCGAGGCGCTCCGTCTCGGACTTTTGCCGGGTGTGGCTCGAGGAGCCGTAGTCGCCCTTGGGCACGGCGGGCGAGGCGAGGCTGGGCTCGGGCTTGATGACCTTGGCCTTGTCGGCCTCCTCCTCGGCCTCGGGGTCGTAGCCCAGCTTCTCAATGCGCTCGGCCTCCTCCTTGGCCTTCTTCTCGGCCTCGTCAAAGTCGATGAGGTCGGCCGTCACCTTCTTGGCGCCGAGCTTGGGCACCTTCTTCGCGCCGAGGACGCTGGCCTTGCGGGGGCCGCTTGTCGTCGTCGTCGTCTTGCGCAGGGCCGCCGAGGAGGTGATGCGGCTGGCGGCCGGCTTGGCGGCAGCGGCGCTGCCGTCGGGCTTGGCGAGGGGCGAGGCGGAGCGCGAGATGTCCTTGGGCGCCGAGAGGCCGCCGGCCGACAGCGGAGACGAGGTGCGGCCGATGACGGGCGGCGTGCTCGTGCGCGAGATGGGCGGCGTCGGCTTCTTGATGGCGGGCTTATCCCAGGAGGAGAAGAAGTCGTCTTCGTCGGCACCCGAGGGCGTGGCGCTGCCATTCTCCTCGACGGCGTCGGTGATGACCACCTCGTGGGGGTACCTGGTGAGGAAAAGCACGTGTCAGCATGATCCCTCCCACCAAAAAAAAAAGGGAGCATCCCTGGAGAAGAGGGATGGTTCTGGGTGTCGCATACTCCTTAGCATCCCTTGCCGCTCGCCTCTTGAGCTCGTCTTTGTACTTGACGGCGGCGCTCGACTGGTACTTGGTCTTGGAGTCTTTGCTGTTGAGAGCTGCGGTGCCGCCGTTCTGCTGGAAGAACTTGGTCGCAGACTCGTTGCCGCCGACCTTCATCATGCGCAGCTGCTCCCATTGCCACTCTAGGGGCGCGTTAGCTTAGGCTTCTCCTCGGTAGGTTTCTCTTTGGAAGAGTGAGTGTGAGGTCAGGCGAGACGTACGGTCGAGGTTGGTCGAGCGGACAAAGGAAATGTGCACACCGAGGTTGCGGTGATTCGAGGAGCAGTCGAGGCATAGGTAGATGCCGAAGGGGACAGAGGTCCAGGTAGGGTGCTTGGAGCCACAGTCGAAGCAGACCTATGTGAGGAAGCATGTCAGCCAGACTGGTACCCACGCGACAAGTAGCATGCTGTGTGAGACTTTACCTTGTTGGCCTGCTTCGTCTTCAATTTCTCGAAGATCTTCTGCGACTCCTGCTTCGAAGCCAGGGCACTCATGATGGCGGTGAGGCTTTGGCCAGTATCAGATCGAGTTTTTTGGTGGTTCGAGGTTTGTCTTGGGTTGCCGACAGCCGAAATATTCCGCTGTCACTCGTGCGTCGCGGAGAGATCAAGAGACGATATCGTGATCGCGTTCGTGTCCCAAGTTCAGGAGTTGCTCCAGTCCTGACGGCAGCAAGGGGGGGGGGGGGGCAACTGAATGTCGAGAAGTGGCATGTAGGGGCCGCACTAACCGCATATGACACTAGCGCGTTCTGCCTCTCCACATGACGGATTCTGCCAAAGGCGGTCACGACCTTTCCGTTCTCTGCCCGTGGAGCTTGTCGCAGCTCGTGAAATCGACGTCCATGTAGCTTCGCATCCCGGAGCTCAAACGCCTATCTATCAGTCTCGGTGCCGTTGTACAATGGCCGCCGCCCTCTCGCCAGGATGAAGATTCCCACCAGCGCGCTTGCGACCCGCACGCCGACCACCATCAGCCACGCTCCCCAATTGCGACCATTCCTCCTCCAACGATACTATGCGACACAGACGGGCCTCGGCACCACCCCGCAGGAACCCAAGAGGAGGAGAGTGACGCCCTTCAACGACGACGGACATGTGCCGTGGTCGAAACTCTCTGCTGCCGAGAAGGCCGGCAGGGCCACGCAGCAGAGCTTCAACTTTGGCATGATCATCGCGGGTCTAGTCTTGACGGTTCGTCTTTCTGTGCCCATCGATGGCCCTGAGCCTGCTGGGCCTTCCCTTGATATTTGGTTGGGCACGAGAACTGACACGGCACCAGGGTGGTGTGGGCTATGTTCTATACACCGATGTCTTTTCCCCCAACAGCAAGACAGTCTACTTCAACCTTGCGACCGACAGGATCAAGAAGGATCCCAGGTGCCTCGAGCTTCTCGGCGATGCAAAGAAGATCATGGCGCACGGAGAAGAAACCATGAACAAGTGGCGGCGGTCGCGTCCTCTGGCGTACGTTGATTTGGTGCACCACTGTGGTCGGCCCCCAGACTAATTGTTCCCAGGTCGTCGGAACACAAGGATGCCAAGGGTAACGATCACTTCCAGATGAAGTTCTACGTACGTTGGGTCTGCTCTCGTATGGCTTTCAAAGGTCAAACTAACAGTGTCCAGGTCGAAGGGCCCCTGAATACCGGCCATGTGCATATCCACATGATCAGGCCGGCAGGTCAGAGCTCCTATGACTACAAGTACCTTTATCTCGATGTCCGGGGGCACCAGAGGATTTACCTGGAGAACGCCGATACCGATCCTAATAACCCCAACAAGTCAAAGGTCAAGTTCTTGGGCATCAACTGGGGCTGATTGTACGAACGAGACCTGCATCTCGAGGATGGAATTTGTATGACATGGACCACGTGTGTAGGATGAGGGTGTATCAATATCATGATTGAGAATCAGAGGTCGGGTTGTCACGAGTGTCTTGCCTTGCTCAGGTGCCAGTTCATGACGCCTACTCATTCCGGTATCTTTTCTCCTACAGCGACACTCATATGTGCCATGTCAAGAAGCGAGGCATCTTTTTGAAAGCTGACTGCTTGCCTCCAAAACTTGGCTTGAGCTCTTGCGGCTGAGCATCAGCGGACTGTACTGGATGACTTGTACAGGAGATGCGTTGTACACCCGCAGCTACCACTACCTTTTGATAATCGTGAGCCAAGCGCGTGAACGTGGGGATCCAGCCAGCCTGCTCCCAGCATGATGCGATCTCCCCATGGGCTTTGACACCAATGATGGGTTTCGCCCGTCTTGATTCACGAATCATCGCTCAACTCAACGAGGATAGTCCTCTCTGCGGTCAAATTCGTAAGCTAATACTACCACAGTATGTCTCCCAACATTCAACAAGCAAGCAGACTCGTTGTTAAAGTGGTCAAACACTTGCTGTCGGTCCTCCCAGAGCTACAGGGCAATTTCTCTTTCCTCGGGTAGTACAGATGCCACACATAGCATGCAGCCATCAAGGTCGCGTGCTGCCATAATTTTTCAAAGACAATTCGCCCGATCACACAGAACAGAAGCGATTCTGGCCAGGGAAACCACCTCCAGCTATAGTTTTGCCGTGCTGCCCGATGATCTCAATATCTCCATACTCCAGCCCTTCACCTCCGGGCTAGGACTGAGCCCTGCGTCTCTGGTAATGTCCATAGGCAGCATCTCTGCTTATCTCTCGGTCTGAAAGAATATTGAGCTCCGAGTTGATCTAAGGCGTTTTCGGATACGGAAACTGTGTTGCGCTGGCGCAATACCGTGAGCCTTCCTTGAAACGTGTTGCGTGATGATTTTACGTGACAGGGTTGATTTCGCAGTTGACATGCAAGTTACAATCAACCCATTTCACCTCACAGCACACACACACACACACAAGCATCGTTTGCGCCATCCAAGAAAGCCAAGGTATTCTGCCTTTGAGATTGCCGTGCTCTCTGACAAATCCCCACGAACAACCCACGTAACCCCTCATCTGATGTTTCTCCTGACACCCCCCTTCAAGGGTGGATAGCGCCCGCCGCGATCCGAACCGCGTGAGGGGTTCGCAGACGCCTTGAAGAGTCCAGGTCGCCAGGCGAAGCACGGTGGCCTGCCTTTGGTGG